CCCATGTTCATAATGTATAGCAATATTTTTTTAAAAAAAATGGTGTGTCATAATTTTCCATTTGGTATCCCCCCATGTTCAGACACCAAAATCACTTTCTGAGCGCCCGGGCTCACGAAGCTGAGCCAAACCGCTTGAAGTTGGAACCACAAACCTGACGCGGTTGGATCTCAACCATGGGAGTTTCAAACCTGGCAGACACTGTTGGGCTTTTCATGTCCGTTCCTGAAAGCAATTCGTTGGGTAACCCATCCTCATCAAGGTGTTGTACTAGTTCCTAGATGTCTCATGTAACCCACATCAACCATCAGGCGTTTAGACCGAGTTTAGACCGAGTTTAGATGATCTTTCCATATGGGTCAATATTGGGTACCCCTAAAAATGGATTGTTAATCCCAAAAATAGACATTTCAATCTGTGTTGTTCCTGAGTAGCTTTGACCCATCCCCATCTCTCTTTCTATAGATCAAGGAAAAACCATGGCTGTATATCAGTATATCCCATCACTAAATCCATCTGAATCGTCTGAATCCCATTTACCCTCTGGTAAACAAACATAGCTATTGAAAATGGCCATAGAAATCGTGGATTTTCCCATTAAAAATGGTGATGTTCCATAGTTGTGTTTATCAGATGGTTAAAAAAAAACCTCGTTTTCCGTTTCCACGTCGTGGTTCCAGGAGCTTCCAGGCGAGGTACAGAGCAAAACGAAGGCCACAGATCCCAGTGCAAAGAGCAGATCGCTCTGCAGGGTGTCAACTCAGCATGGAAAGGCATGGTGGTTGGCAGGTTCCAAAATGCTGATGGAACATCTATGGAACATCTATGGAACATCTATGGCATCATAGATGGAACATCTATGGATTGGGATTGGAAAATTGGATGAAAACTGGGGATGATTTCCATGGAGTTGGAATTGGATTGATGCCATGGGATGCCTCAAATCATCCAATGTTCGAGAATTGGATTCTGGGGCACCAAATCATCCCAAATCTGGAGTTAGAATCCTGATGATCTAGGAGTTGAATTTTCATCGGGATTCTGGGGCACCCCAATTCCTAGAAATACGACGGAATGAGAGCATTGAGATGATCCTTCGCTGCTGTTTTTCCAGACGTTTGGAGCTGTTTTGTTTAGCCTGAATTCATGATACAACATGATACAACAACAAATCTGGTTGCTGATTCGGAACAATGCACCAACCCCAACATTTTGAGGGAAAATCTATGGGGAAATCGAATAATTCCCCCCCCGAGCTCAGCTTCCAACGCAGCTCCAAAGATGTCAAGAAGTCCCCGGCATAACGGGGGTAGACTGCGGCCAGGTGACGGCAGCACATAGATAGATATAGATAGAATATACATAGTAACTTAGGTTTGAACATAAATGATTGTATGCATATAATATATATATACATACATTCATAACCTCTATATTCTACATATTTATATATACATATACATATATACATATATATATATATACATATATATATATATATACGTAATTATGTATATATCTATAATTATATATATATATATAATTATATATATATAATTATATATATAGACACATGAAATAGAGACTTACCAGGCACGTCAAATTTGGGCACCAGTAGGTCTTCCCAATAAACCGGGCAGATGATCGGCAGATGTCTGAAAATGTGGTGTTACCCTCTGGTAAACATACAAAAAGCTATGGGAAATCACCATCTTTCAATGGTCATTTACGTCATTTCGCCCCTAAAAGAATGGGGTACCCTATTTTCAGACAAACCCATTGCAGTACCCGCCAGAATGCCGAAAGTGAAGACATAAAGAATGATGATTTTTGGGAATGTAACCAACTCAAATATCCAGAATCTGTGGGTGAAGTGAATCACCAACTGATGATCCACACTTCGCACCCGAGCTGCCCGTTGTCGCTTCGCTGCTGCACCTTTCTTGTTGATGCCATCGGAATTCAACAAGAGATAGGGATACAGCCTTAGTCATGGGAGCCACCCACAGAACCACCAGATTGCCTTTGATGGAACCCATAGATTGCCATTGTTGAGTATAAAATCAGCTAAATCAGCTGCTAACTGGCCACTTTTTGCTGGACTTTGTTGTGAACTGGCCCTGTGCTGATTTCAAAACATCACAAGTCTTGAAGAAACAGCTGGTGAAAGGAAAAAACAACTCAAAGTGACACAATTATCCTGTTGATATTAGAACATGATATCAAAAAAAATCAGACATGATTACCAGCGTTTAGCAAGACAAGACCGACCAATTTGTCGCTCCTCAGGCGAAGACTCGGTGGCCACAAACTTTTGCCAGTCAATTTTCGCTTGTTCTGGGCGCAGAACAAGCGAAGCCGGGCGAGTCTGGGTTGCATCTCACCACCAGGACATGCTGTTTGAATAGCTGAGGGGAAGATGTTGCGGTGGGCTAACTCCGGGGTTGCCTGAAATCACAACAGGAAATTTGCTGTGAGTTTTTGTGCGACACGAATCGTTGTCAATTTTTGCAAAATGCCCCGAAACCATTGCTTTCCCCCCACACACCCAAACACAAAATTTTGAGAGATACTGGTAGCCAAGTTGGTGACATAATGCGACACATTCCATGGGAGGTCATCGCATCATAGCTATCTTGGGGCTCCGGACATCAGGTTGAAGCTTCTATCACATGTATCGATAGATGTGTTGAAGCTGGTTGACGGATGCTTTCTACCCACTGTTCAAAAAACAAACGATCCTCCCTCCAACTAATGTAGACCCCTTCCAGTTGTAGCGATCCTCAAGGTCTATGTTGGTTTGAGGTTGGACTCGCAGCCGACCATCATTGGCAGGATGGTTAGATACAAAAAAGAATCATCACTGCCTTTCGAATAGCGATCAATTCTAGAAATCATGCCCTCCCCCCATAATATGAAATATTTGAACTACCCCCCATAAATATGGGGCCCCCTGGGTTTTCTTCAGGCTTTTATCTCACCTTGGCGGCATCCACCCAAAAAAAAAACTTTTTCGTCCAAAGAAATCCCCCAGAATCTCATCATCCATCAAAAATCATCCATCAAATCATCCATAACAAAATCCTCCATATAAAATATTTTAAAACATCCATAAAACCATCCGGAACAAAAAAATCACCAGTTGCTGCCATCAATCACCGAAAAAACCTGATCAGTCTGAGGTGCCAAGCCTACTTTTCCGGTGATCTCACCCTGTGACGTGCCCGTCACGTCCTTAAGGTGATCAAACCGTGGAAAATCCTCAAAAGTCTGGGAAAATGGTCCAACTCAGTGGATCAACACATGGTAAATACCATGGTAGATTCCATGGTAAATTCCAATTCCGATGTTTGATCAAACGGGAGGACTTTTTTTTTGGAATCCCTGTGAAAATGGATTCATAGAATTGATATGGATTGATTTTGTCCCTCCGCCCAAGATTGGTATACAATTCAACTATTGCTGTTCGTTCAATGGCATTTATCAGTGTTTGTTTTGTATATGTTTGTATCAATGGCTGTTCAATCACATCTAAGTGCAAAATGAAAAGTTCATTGCCGGTAGTATGATGTTTACCCTCTGGTAAACTAACATAGCTATGGAAAATCACCATTTTCAATGGGAAAATCCAATATAAATGGCAATTTTCAATAGCTATGTTAGTCATTACCAGAGGGTATCGATAAGGCGGCTTCCAAAAAATGCTGGAACATCCCAACAACGACCTGATCCAGCAAAATATTGAAAATTCATGTGCTATCCCTGATTTTCGCCCATAGTTCTTTGCTGTTTCTTGGAGGTGTTTGATCTTAGGAAGGGATTATAGTTGTAATTGGTTAGTTATAAAATGTTATAAACCGTCATATGGAGGTTTCCTAAAATATGGGATTCCCGCAAATCATCCATTTTACATCATTTTTCTGGGATTTTCCATGAAATAAACCATCCATTTTTGGGATACCCCCATGACTATGGAAGCCATCATATCCCCCCATTGATATCCCATTTTTCATCACAACCCTAAGCCTTCATGATTTCACCCAGCAAGGTTCAGCAAACCATTTTGCTGGGTGAAAAACACCATGTTTTGCTGGTGAAAAACACCATTGATGTTTGCTGCTTCAGTCACCATTTTTGCGAGTCACATCACCATTTTTGCTGGTTTAATCACAATTGTTGTTGGTTGAAGCATGTTTAATCACCATTTTTGCTGGTTAAATCCCCGTTTTTAATGCTCCAATCCCCCCACTTTCCCTTGTCCCAGTTGCGAAGGCGAACCAGAACCGCGAGCGCAGGACCGTTGGCACCTTGCCCTGCGCCTGACGACTCAACGGAAAATGGTGGGGGAAAAAGTTGGATGTCAGCAAAAATTGAGAAAATCCAAATATATCATTGGTATTCATTGGTTATATATTCTTATACCAATTCTAAACCCATTGGTTGTATGATTAATATAATTATATACCATATCTTATACCAATTATAAGCCATACACTCTGGTAATTGGTAATTGAACAGTTCGCTATGGAAATCACCCTTGTCGATCAGGTAAGTCACCAAACTCAATTGCGGCGTCCATAGCTATGTAAAAAACCAGAGGGTATGAGATGTTCCAGGGATTTCATCAAACAATGGGTTCATTAAGGATTTCAAACGATTACCCTCTGGTTATTATTTAACATAGCCATGGGAAATGGCCCATTTATAGATGGTTTACCTATTAATAGCATGGTGATTTTCAATGGCTATGTTAGTCATAAGTCATAACCAGATGGTAATGAAATGTTACCAGCATTGCGCAGGAGATTTCATCCATTTCACCATCTGTTTCATAAGGATTTCAGCAGAAAATTTTGGGAACTTCACTGGATTTCACCAACGGAAAAAACGGAACGGTTCACAGCTACCCGTTTTGTACGAGTTCAGCAATTTCACCAAGAGATAGGAGGAGTTTATCGACAACAAACAAATTTGAAGTTTCATCGAGAGAAATGAGGATCTCACCAGAAAACATAAGCCAATTCATCCGAAGAATCAGAATGCGGTGGACAAAGACATCCCAAAAATTCTGGACGTTGCCAACCAAACATGGGCCAATTGGCACCAAAATTCCAGCAGTTCAGCACCTCTCTAGCCCTGACGTCAAGCTTTTTTTGGTCTCCAAAGTGCCAGCAGCTGTGGAGCTTTGGCATGTCCTGCTTGCTGAGAGCCACGCCAATCCTCCCTCTGTTCCTGGGTGCTGCGGAACACGCTTGGGAAAATATCAAAATCCTTCAGCTTGATAGAAGGTATGATAGCTCAGAAAATGTGAAATCAAAACCAAAAGGGAAGGCAATTGGAATTCACCTAAAAGGATGCCCAGCTTGTGGATCTTGTGGTTGGGAAAAATCAGTATTTTGCCAGTTTGCTTGCTTCTTTTGCCTCCAACCTGCTGGAAAACACCTACACTTGCAAGGTAAGGCTCTGGGGGAAAACCCACGCGTCCAGCTTCAAACTCTTCAACAAATCCAAGGCAGCTGCTTGAACATCTGTCGTATCCCAGACTTGCCGCGACTTCCCCTGACCTGTGACCACGGTACACTCCAATCTGTCGTTCTCTTCCAGGCGTCTGGCTACCGTGGTGGACAACCACCACAGTAGGGTGAGTCGAGCAGCTCCTTCGGAGTGGTAGTGCAGGTCTACCTTGAGGCCCTTAAATGCCGAGGACCTCTTCAAGATGGGCAACAAACCCTTCTGGTAGATATCTCCGCCCAGGCGGCTTTTTTCGCTGGCAATATGCCTACAATCCAGTAGCACACTGTAGGTGACCATGTCTGGTTGAACTTTTGCGGCGAACATTGCCTCAAGCAGTGATAGGGCCTGTTGCCATTGACCACCCTTCTGACAAGCGCTCATGGTCGCATTGTAGCTGATCACACCTGCTTTCATTTCCGCCGCGTTCATTTCTTCAAGAAGTATGAGGGCATGCTGCCACTGGCCTCCCTTCTCGCATGCACTGATGGTGGCGCTGTAGCTGATGACATTTGGGATAATTTTGGCCTTCTGCATTGCCCTGAACAAGTTCAATGCCTGATGCCATTGACCCCCCTTCTCACAAGCACTGATGGAAGAACTGTAGCTGATCACATCTGGGTGCGCATTGGCTGTCTGCATAGAACCAAAGAGCATCAATGCATGCTCCCATTGACCTCCCTTCTCACAGGCACTGATTGTCGCATTGTAGGTGATGACATTTGGTGTTGCTTCAGTTCTTTTCATTTCTTCAAACAAGCACAGTGCCTGCTGCCACTGACCACCCTTCCCACAAGCACTGATGGAAGAACTGTAGATGACCACATCTGGATTCACTTTGGCTGCTTTCATTGCCCCAAAAAGAATCATTGCCTGCTGCCATTGACCTCCCTTCTCACATGCAGCGATGGCGGCATTGTAAGTGAAAAGGTCCGCAGTAACCTTGGTCTCTCTCATCGCGTTCAAGAGCCAACAAGCGTCTTGCCACAGCTTTGACCTTCCGCAAGCTGTAATTCCGACGGTGTAATCGCGTTCCGTCAACCCAAAGTTCCGGTTTTGCATTTGCACTGCAAAAGCTTGAAGGATCAATTTAGCACGTCCCGTCTGGGCAAGCGTCCTCAAAACATGGTGAAAAGTAATCCTGGTGGGGTTGAAATTGAGTTTCTGAAACAAAGCTTCAGTTTCTGACCCGAACTTCTCGGACCAGCTGACCTTCCACCTTCTTCGATACATGGCTCGGTGCGCCGAAAATGTCCCTCGATCCCAAGCCGCGGAAAGCGCAACCATCGTGTGTCATGGTGAAAACTCCCGACACCTATGGGGGTTGGGCACAACGGCACTATCAGGGATTCCTTAGGTTGGCCAGAGGATAGACCTGCCTCAAATGAGGCTCTTCAACCTGCCATGATGCTTACTTTCTTCTTTTCAGTTTCCTCAAATGCATAGACTTTCCCCAGGAAAACCCATGGAAACTGGTGACTTTGGAAGAAAAATGTCAAAAACCACGGTAAACCTACTACAAAACACCCAACCCAGTTGAACCTTTTGGGTCTTAATTGTCCTCTGGTAATCAAACGTAACGTGGCTGAAAATCCTCGAACGAAAATAGGTGTCTGGCTGGAAACAAAAAACAAACAAACTATTGCTGAGGGATTTTCCAGCAAACCACGTTCAACATCCAAATATATACTGGTTGGTGGCTTCAACCCCTCTGAACAATATTACTCAGTTGGGATGATTATTCCCAAATATGGAAAAAGAAAAAATGTTCCCAACCACCAACCAGTATAATTTGGTTATATCATTGGTTATATATACATATTAATTATATTATATACCCTTTCTTACACCAATTATGAACCATACCATCTGGTAATTGAACAGTTCGCTATGGAAAATCACCCATTATGTAATCAGGTAAATCACCAAACTCAAGCTAGCGGCGTCCATAGCTATGTAAAAAAACCAGAGGGTATGAGATGTTCCAGGGATTTCATCAAACAACGAGTTCATTAAGGATTTCAAACGATTACCCTCTGGTTATTATTTAACATAGCCATGGGAAATGGCCCATTTATAGATGGTTTACCTATTAATAGCATGGTGATTTTCAATGGATTTCATCATCTATTAATAGGTAAACCATCTATAAATCATATGTTAGTCTGTTAGTCATAACCATCTAGGTTACATTTCATTACCTATTAAAAATGGTGATTTTCCTACGGATTTCCAGTTACCACATGACCTCCCCGTCCATCTGAAACGGCTCACCTCGAGGCCAGTACCATCCCGCGGCGGGGGAACATAGCTGGAGGGCAGGTAGCGCCGGAAGTCCAGCACCGGATGGCCTAATTCTAGCGGTGCAATTAGCTATGGATAGCTATGGTATATATCTGGTTGGTGGTTATGTTTATATATATATATATATACATATATGGATATATATATATATATATGGATAGCTATGGATATATATATATATATGGTTCACCGGAAAAAAAAAACGATGGTTAATGGTGATTGATGGTGATTAATGATGGTTAATGATGGTTAATATGTGGTTAATATGTGGTTGTTATATGGTTAATGATGATTAATAATAATCTGGTTGGTGGTTTCAACCCCTCTGAAAAATATGAGTTCGTCAATGGGTTTCGGATGACATCCCATATATGAAGTGGAAAATAAATTTCATGTTTGAAACCACCAACCAGATATGGATATATATATATATTTATGGCCCACTTATAGATTGGTTTTACATGGTTTTACCATAAAAATATATTACATGGGGGTTCTGCTTGGGTGGCGCAAGACTTGAAGACTTGAGAGCAACTTATAGAAAAAGATGGAACTTGGTAAAATTCGACTGCAAAAATATGCCAAAATAACTGATTACTGCACTCACTTTTCAAGAAAAGTCCGCAAACTACTGGAACTATCGCATCTAGAACTGGGAAATCTGATCATGCAGTGAATGACCAGTGCCTAAGTTGGAATACCACAGACTATATACAGTAATCAAGAAACAAGATTGAACCAAAACCCACATACGTATCACGCATTAAAACACTCCAGGAATCAACCAAGTGCTTCCTGTAGAACTACCAACACAGCAAGCCATGTCCAGTCGAGTTGCTGCTAACCGTTTGCTAACCACCATCTTTAGTTTACGCAGTTCTGAGGTAGAGTGGGATAAACCAATAAACCCCAGTGATAAACGCGGGCCACAAACCACTTACAATTCCTGGGATGCACATAGAGTTCATCCAAGTCATTGCAGCCATACAGCACCGCGCCTCCTTGCTCCACATACGCGAGGAAGGCTGGCCTAGGTACGAGGAAGGCGGTCACAATGCAGGAAAGAGAATGACAATGACAGCCGATGAAGAAACCCGCGGCTGGGTTGATTTTTCTTTGATTGGGAATGTCAATTTCAACAGAACCAGTTATTGAATTTTTCATGATGTCCTCCCAAAAAAATGAGGTCCGGAATATAACTTGGCAGATGATCACAACTTATGGGAGGACCCCCCAGGTGATTTCACCATGCTTGTGGCGGCAATGATCCCACGAGAACAATTTAAGTACCCTTCTGGTTTGTGAATGAGATCTTCCACAAAAAGCACTCTTTTTTTTGGGACTAGCACCTGGTAATTACCATGATGGGTGAGTCAGCGAAATGATTGGTAAGCCAATTTATGTTTCCATTGCAATATGTCTTACAATTAAATTGTACACCAAAACAGGTAGTACACCCAGTAATACACCATACCCCGTTTGTAGATCCACTTCTATTCCTCGAGGTATAGAGCAAAACATACCCGTGTATCCAATTATTGTCATTTTTTGTTGGTGAAACTCCCTCCAATTTTTTGTGGGGTTACATAGACCTCTTCCGAAATGATCATTGACCAAATTGACCATCGACCGGGCGCTCCGGGCACGGGGATGGGCTCTTGTCCATTAGCATCCAGATTCATGACCTCAACAGCGGTGCCAGTTTACCTGCGTGCATATACCCATCTGCATGGATATGTATAGAGTATATAGAGCCTGGTGAAAGTTCTGTGCCGATAAGGAAATTGCATCAGTTTTCACACCTACTGCTTGGATATATCGGGCACAACAGGTCCAGTATGTAATCTTTGGCAGCAAACGCTCGCATCACCAGAGTCATCGTCGGGAAAATTCACCATGTATCTGGATCATTTTCACAACATCATGATCATTGAAAAAACGCTGTATATGGTCATGAGATGACTGTATCGGTCAAAATCCCAAGCATCGAGAAATCTGGTCATCATTACATCCCTACGCTGATTCGCCAAGCTGAACAGTGCTGCTTTGGGGTTGCTCCCCTCAATACCATTCATGATGGCATCCGTGTAGCCAAGTAACCCGCAGATTGGTTGTATCCGCATATTTGATGGTTAAATTCTCACAATTCCTGGCTTCTCTCTGCAAGACCGTCATTCTTGGCGCTGAAGTCCCAAAATCCCAATTTCCGGGCCATTTTCTGTTGGCAAAACGCCACCCCAGGAATTCAGCCCCGGTTCAACCAACGGCCGCGGGGCAAAGCGGGTAAAGGCGCTGTCGGCGGTACCGGGGACTTCCTGTCGGGCCATTCATTTTGCGACCTGCTTGGTAGTCATGAATTTCATGAATGGGTAATTCATCGTGATTGTATTAGCAAATGACGCTTAATGCATATGAATGATTATGAGGTCCCAAACAATTGTGATTAATGCATGATCATGACGATTATATATAGGTTCTATAGTGATTGATGATTGATCAATAGTGATACTTGGTTAGCACTGTCAATGTTAATTGCAGTAATGATTAGTGGATATTGATGGTATAATCCATGGATCATTAAACACCATTGATATTTATTTAGCATTATTATGGGTATTAATGATTATTCATAGCATTAATCATTAATATATAATGAATCATTAGCCATTAATCATGAATGCAATGATGATACTTGGTTATTAGTGGTGGTGTTTAAAAAAAATGATCAGATGATTGCTGTCAAGATTGACCATGATTCTGAATAATCCGTGTATGATAATCACTTGCAATCATGAAGCAATGGAGAAGTAATCAGGCTTTCAATGGAGGCAACCGGGATTTGGAGCCTTCGGATCAACATTTGCACCTCCCATGATCACAAGAAAACGTTGTATCATATTGTCTACCCTCTGGTGAACTAACATAGCAATGGAAAATGGCCATTTATAGTGGATTTTCCCATTAAGAATGGTGATTTTCCATTGCTATGTTAGTTCACCAGAGGGTATCACAAGCTTAAGTTTAAGTCATGAGGACAGATCTTTAGCTTGGGCACCGACCCACAGAATGGGGTACCTGGGTACCTAGTTCAAGCGGTTGTTTCCCAGGTCCACTATTCTGAGCCACATCCCCCTGGCCCGGAGACTGAATGGCTGGACCTTCGAACTGAATGGAAATTCTAGGCCGGTACCAGCTTGGTGAATGTCGCAAGGGTAGGTTACCGTAGGTTGAAAATTCCATATAGTAATTTTGATACTGTTCAAATGCTCCATGAAACTAAAAATTGCCGGAATTCTCGACTACAAAATACGCCATGATTTCCTCAAATCCACCGGTTTTGGCGCCATTCTGTTCCGAAGATTTTAGGATGGTCCCTGCTGTCGACTCATTACCAAAGGTACAGACATCCTACATGTCAAAGATGCACGAGAAGTCCTTCCCATAAACAAAAAAACCTGGTTCAATCTGATTTTCCGTTACAGCCGGTGAAATCTCTATTTCTTGCAGGTTACATCCAAGTTGTCCTGTTTTTTTTTCATTTTTTTTGAGTTAAATCCTCATGTTTCCTGGTTGAATCACCATTTTTCCATATTTTTCCAGTGAAATCCTCAGTTTTCCTGTTGCGTTCCGACCTGCGTGGCCCAGGCGTAGGCCATCAAGGATTCCCCGGGGTCGCAGAACTGCGTGAGGCTGGAGGCCTGGAGACTAACAGGATGGATTCGGATATAACATCAATGGGAATATATATATATATATACATATGGAGCTGTGCCGGATCAAATCCGGTGCGAGGCCCCCGGGCCACCCAGGAGATGGGGCGCACGTTAACGACGTGGGAGCTTTTACGAGGGATGGGCCTCAACCAAGTTGCCCCATGGATTGTTGGATTTTTATTTTGTTTGGGACTTGTTGCTTCCGGGGGAGCCCTTTCACCTCCTGCCGCATGTGGTGATAGTGGTGGTTTTGGCGATTTGATATGTTCTTGTTCACCCCCTGTGTTCCATTCTCTAGTGTCCCACCTCCTGGGGACCCATCGGTTTTCCTTGTGCAATGGCGGGCCCTTGGGTCGAAAGAGGCACTAGTTCAAGACGTGCCCCTTGGGAGACCAATGCCCACAGTGATGGACTTTCCCTGGCAGACCTGGACGAGCTTTGTTGGCCGGGTCTTTGGTCAGCCTCTGACGTCTCGCATGTCCCAAGTGATCAGATCAATAGTGGAGCTCAGGGCCTTTGTTTTGTCACTCAAACGACCCTTTTAGAATACCGGTGCTTCCGTTCTAGTGCAATGTTCGTGTTTGTCACCAAAGGCTTTGTGAAAGAGAGATTGCTCAAGCACAAGTTTGAAGAAGATCGCATCATTGAAGCCAGCCTGTCAGTCCATGACCCAGTCTTGAAACAAGACACTCCAAGAGCCTTGACGTTGGTGAACTGTTCAGATGACCCAACAGACTGGGTGACAATCTCTGACCCAGAAGTTGCGGTAAAGGTGTCGCAGATCAACAGGATGGGCGTCTTTGTGGAGATCCGGCAAAGCCAGGCTGTCCCAAGAGATTGGGAGACATTCTCTGATGTAGCCAAATTTGACAACTACATCAAACAAATTCTCCAGACAGCCCGGTGTGAAAACACCGCCATTCAATACAAAAGTTTCCAGAGAGAAGGGTATCTGGCAAAGCGGCTCCTCATTCCGACCGAGATGAGAGACCAAATTTATGCCAGGAGTGGGTTGCACAGCATTCAGGTGAGACCTATTAGAGCTTGGGAAGATGCACCCGAATCTGGTCTTGAGCTTCTCCCTCTTGACACAAAAGAGCTCTTAGGTGATCTTGCCCAAACTCATCACCAGCGAGATGGATTTCTCGGGATGTTTCAGACTGGCCGCACTATTTACTACAGAACCTCAGATGCAACGATTTCTGATGCCAGGAAAATGTGGTATCCTGACCAGGACAGGTGGACCCCAGACAACATTCAGGTCAAAGCCATCCATCACTGGAAAATATCGGGTTTTCCAACAGGGACATCAGCACAGGAGGTGGCAGAGACTTTGACCAGTCTCGGCGTAGCTGCTGTCCCGACAAAACAGCTACACTTCCGCGAGCTATGCGTTGTGTTTGCCTTCAGTGCGAAAGAGCCCATGCACCTCAAGTTTCAGACCAACATTGGCATCATTCGACTCGAGAAGCTGGAGCCGCAGAAGCGGGCAGTGAAGCAGATCAAGGATGCGTCAGTGATTGCCCCCACCCCATCTTTCCCAGCCAAAGGAAAAGGAAAAGGCAAAACCAAGATTCAGACCTCACCAAGCAGTCCAATTTCCACGATCCCAAGTGCTCCGGTGACTCCTTCCACCAGTGCACCTTCTTCAGCCCCAAGTTCGTCAATGGCGAGCCGCGTGGCAATTCTGGAGCAGCGGCTGGATGGGGTTCAAAAAGACATCCAAGTAGTGAGATCAGAGTACCACGAGCTCAAGACATCTGTTCATGCAATCGAAAAGAAGCAGGACAAGGGGTTCTCGGATTTGATGGAGGCAATCGGTGCATTGAAAGGCTTGCCATCAAGTGCATCGAGCACGCCAGTGAAATCGCCTGCTTCCAAGAAAGCAAAGCCGTAGCTAGTGGGAATGTAAGTTGCACTGTTTCTCCTTGGATGTTTAGTTCCATTTTGCCTTACGTTATCCTTGGTTGTCTCAGAGTTTGTGTTGCTTTTGTGTGGTTTGTTTTGCTTGTTTGCTGTTTTTTCTCTCAATGGTTTCATGTGGGCCTTTGCGCTAAAACATGTGCAACCTTAGCAGATCTGTCTTCTTCCAAGCCTAGAAGGCTCAGGACAAGACGTGCTCGTAGATCTAGACGAATGACAAAGATGTTGGTCAAAGCCTCTCTCATTTTGTTTCTAATTCATAATTCGACATGTGTCTCTCTTCACGGTAGCCAACCTGTCGACACATTGCCTAGACCCCCGGGAGGTCTTACCTTGTTTCACTCAGAACCTGAGCAGAGACAGCTCTTGCATGCAAACGTTACAGTGCCGAGTGCGGAGCTTCTGGCTTCAAATCATTGTTTTTTGACACTTGGATTTGGAAATGGCTGCAGACAAGTTGTTTCCGAGCCGAAGTCCGACAATGCGAAGCTCCGCTATAATTCAAGTTTTCAATTTGCAAACGTCAGGAAGAATTGCAGTCACGGGTGGTTTGCCTCCCAAAACTACCTTTGGATTTTCTTTATCCCCTGCTTGGGCTACCCTGGCCAAGGTCCCCAAGAGTTTGTGTTTGATATCTCTTCGATCAACGTCACTTCTTGTAGTAGCAATTTTCATTCAATGGTTTCCTTTTGTGCTCCATTCCCGGAACGCGACCAATACAATATCTTGTGCGCGCAGGAAACGCGAATCCATCCGCTCAAGGAGAGAAGACTTCGAGCCGAATTTGAAAAGCAAGGGTGGCAATCAGTTCTTGGGTACCAACCCCCTGTGAAACCTTTATTCAGGAGTGGCAAGAAGATTATGCGGCAACCTAATGGAGGGATTGCCACCTTTGCTGACTCTCGAGTCGCTCTCACTGAAATCGACATAGACAAGACTTTCGAACTAAGTAGCTTTGTTCAAGCCTTGCATGTTGTCCATGGGGATGTGGGGTTTTATATCATCAACTGTTATTTGCCCACTGGGAATTCTTCAGCTATCTCCATGCAAAGAAAGATTATCATGCAAGGAGTCTTCGAATTTGCTGCGACACTTCCGAAGGCACCAGTTTTTATTTTGGGAGATTTTCAAGATCCACCTGGTTCTAATTCTAGTGTTGCTCAGGCTCTGTGTTCTGGTGAATGGGTTGATGTACTGGATGCCTTTTGTGCTGCACACCAGCAGCCTATCCCAAATTCATACCAACGTATCTCAGATGGAAAAACTCAAGAATCTAGGATCGATTACATCTTGGCTAACAGTGCTGCCTGTGCTCATGTTCGCGACGCCGCATGTATAGTGGACTCAGGTTTTCCTGACCATCGGCCTGTGAGTGTCCGGTGTATCTTTGAAGATGCTCCGGATAGAGCCTATTTTTTGAAAGGTTGCGAACAATGGGAGTTTAGTGAAGCTCCCAAATCTTCACAAGCTTGGAATGTTCGCGACGAACATGTGAAAAAGGTTTTGGCTCCACATCTGCATGGTTTGTGTCTTGCTGCCGGTCAGCAAGACACAGAAACTTTGTGGACACACGCATGCACGGCTGTCTCTGATATCCTGCAGTCGCTAGCTATGAACACGATCCAGTCAAATCGAAGGGGTCGAATCCCAGAATTTGAGCTAGTAAACACCACTGGTAGCCCTAAAAAGACTATTTTTCGATCCAGGCGGATTGCCAAATGTTTTAAACTCATTCGGGAAATTCACAAGAAGGTTTCCCTTCCGGGAACCTTCTCTACTCCTGTCAGAACCCAACAATTCCACAGTACTGTTCGGAATTTCAAACATGTTGCTAAACTTGTGGGGTTTGATTGTGAACCATTTGATTTTATGACTGTCAGCCAAGTTGAAGAAGTTCAATCGCAATTGGGGAAAACCATTCGATTCCATGATTCTTCAAAAGCAAACGAATCCCTCAAAAAATGGAAAACAAAATTAAAGATATCTTCTTATGCAGATCGGAAGGCGGTTCACCGGTGGTTGCGAGGCGGATGTGCAACAAACCCCAAATTCATGAAGCACCAAGGAGGCCTCACATCCAAAATTTCGGTTATGCTTCAGACAGTTTCTGATCGCATGCAGACCATCTATTCTACCCACAAAGACGTAGACCCTCAAGACATGGTGCAGAATTTTATGGGTAAGTATGGGGATGTTGTCAGAGACATGTGCACTGATTGTTCCCTTCCAATTTTAACTGAAGACCATTTCTTTGACATGTGCCAACGGAAACCTTCAACCAAAGCTGGTGGATTGGATCTTTGGAAATATAAAGAACTTCAACAACTTCCCCCAAGTGGATGGATACCGTTTAAACTTGTGGCGATGCTGGCTGAAACAACGGGTACCTGGCCAAAAGCAATTCGATGCATCTCAGTAACTACTATCCCCAAAAACAATTCTCCCATTCTTGATCCTGAATTGATTAGGGCTATTGGGGTTTCAAGTGCGATATATTCCCTTTGGTCAAGCATTCGGTACCAACATCTTACCACATGGATGAATCAAATTTCTCCGCAGGGTATTTTAGGAGGGGTTCCAGGGCGGTCCTCTGACGAAAGTGAGTTGGCTTTTTCGGAGGCTTTACACGACGAAACAGAAGATAAAGTCGCAATTTTCATCGATCGGGTGAAATGTTTCGACATGGTTATACCTGAGGTTTCCCTCAACATTGCAGCTGCTGTGGGGTTACCAGCAACAATCACTCGGGCTGTTACTGGCTTTTACACCCAACAGGTTAAGTTCTTCAAGATCAATGGGTATTATGGCAACCAAGTCCTTTCTTGTAATTCAGCAATTCAAGGCTGTTCTATGTCTGTGATGATGGTAAATGTCATGTACTCCGTCTTGATTCGTTCCTTGCAGCATTCCAATCCCAATATTTCCATCACCACCTTCATTGACGATTGCAAAATTTGGGGCCCCCAATCGTCTTCTAATGAACTGGTTGCGGCTTTCAATGAAATAGCTACCTTTGACACTGCTGTGGGGCAATCCCTGAACGAACAAAAGTCTGAAATCCTAGCGAGGTCAAAGGAAAAGGGCCGGTGTTTTAGACGCAAATTGGGCAAACAGTTCAAGATTGTCACTCAATCCAAATCTTTGGGGCGTGTCCATCAAATCAACACGGTTAGAAATGCCAAGGCCCAGGAAAAACGAGTGAAAAAGGCTTTGGGCGTTTTGAGTAAAATAAATACACTACCTATTCCTCGTCATCAAAAAGGTCATTTTATTCAATCACATGCGCATTCTAAATGGGTTTTTGGTACTGAAACCCAGGGGATATCAGTAAGATCACTTGCTCAATTGAGGGCTGCGGTCGTCAACGTTTTAGACCCCTCTACGCATCGACTGCGGTCCCCTTTCCTTGTTTTGGTTACTCAACGTGATCCCTTTTTAGATCCTTTAGGAAAGTGGGCATATCATGTCATCACCGGATTGCGCAGGGTTGCAAAGAAGAACCTTGATTTGGCTCGTAATATTTTGAGAAATGCAAGAAACATACCTACCCCCAAAAGTGGCGCTATCAATGGTCAGAGTCGGATTTTGAAGTTTTTGCTCCAGAAGCTTCAATGGAAAATTTCTCATGACGAAACGCTCCGATTTGTGACAAAATATGGCGATTTTTTCCTCACTGATTTTAGCGAAGCATTTTTTCAAGAAATACTTGGCGATGCCGTGCGTGACATGCTCATTGCCAATGTTCAGTCTCGACATGAGGCTGGTAAGATCCCTGAAGACCACCAAGTCGATTGTTTTTTGACGAGGCTTCTTCTGGATGAATCTTTTCAAAATGATCAAGTTTTTGGTTGTGTTCATGACCTTCTTTCATGCCTTCCCAAGGATCGTAACCACGCCAAAAATCTTCTAGGACAAGCATTAACTGGAAGGGTTTTCACAGCGCCTCGGCTGGCCGCTGCTGGAATTTCATCAACAAGAGTTTGTCCGAATTGTGAATGTATTGAGACCCACCACCATTTGTTTGCTCAGTGTTCATATTATGAAGCAACGCGACCCGCTAATCCACCAAGTGAGCCGGACTTATCTTGGAACACAGGTGTCCTTTTTTCCCCAAAGCTTCAAATTCATAATGCTCACATTCCGGTGCCAATGCGTGACCGCGTAGAGGCTAATGAGGTAGTGTTTGTTGATGGAAGCTGTTTGCACCTTCCGTGCAAAGACTTGCGCACCGGAGCCTCTGCATACTATGTACCTGGGCAGGTTAAGTTCGCGCATGAGCTCCCTGGAGCTGACATCTCATCTCAAAGAACGGAAATTTACGCGCTTCTTCTTGTACTTCATCATTTCCGCGGGCGGATCACGGTTGCTACTGATTGTTCAGCAGTCATCAAAGGACTTGCTGCGCTCAAGTCCGAACAGCGACTTTTCTTTTTGTCCCACTGTGACAACCGCGATCTTTGGTTACAAGTTAAAGCCGCCTTCGATGTGTTTCCAGGTGATGTTCAATGTATCAAAGTGAAGGCCCATGTTAGCATGGCCTAAGCAACCAGCTTGTAGGGGTGTCTGTCTCCAGAAGATGCCTGTTTTTCGGTTAGCTCCAGTAGAAGAGAGATATGTTCAAGCTTGCGGCAATGGAGTAGCAACCTTAAATATGTTGCAAGAACTGAAATCTCATTATTCAACATTCGATCTCCGTACACGCGGAATCCAATTCATTCCAAATTTCTCGCAAGTAACGGTTGCAACTAGCGGGGTTCAGTCAAAACTCACATCTGCAGAGGCAGGTGCATTTGTCCGATACTTTCAATCTGCGTCGCTTTCATTTGAAACAACCAGAACTGGTATAAAGGTACCTTGGCTTCTGGTTCTTCTAGATTTCTGTGCTATGTGCCCTTGTGACACTTCGTGGTTGGTTCAAGAATCTCTCCGTAAAAGTGTTTCGAAGTTTCGTGCTGTCGCTACCCTGTTTTTGAAAGCCCAGGAGTGTCAAATATGTGTGGCCAGCCAAAGCACAATTTGTAGCGATTTCGGGTTTGGTCGCCTTTCGGGTTTTTTTGGGCACATAAGCTTTTATCATCCACATAAGGTTTGGTTTCTTCTTGCTGCCCTTTCTATTAGAAATCTTGATCTTGATAGTGGGTCCAAGATGATGAGTTACAGCTTTCAGGACGATCTGAGTGTCCTGCAAACGCTTCCTGACAGTTTGCATTAGTCTTTTCCATGGGCAAACGGTGAAGGGGGCACCCGTGGAAACTGAATTGCATCAGCTTATTTCCTCTTCTTAGCGTGCTGGAGTGCTCGAGAGGCCGACAGTGTGCAGGGCAGGAAAAATATATATACATATGGATATATATGGATAGCTATGGATATATATGGTTAACCGGAAAAAAAAAACGATGGTTAATGATGGTTAATGATGGTTAATATGTGGTTAATATGTGGTTGTTATATGGTTAATGATGATTAATAATAATACTGTTGGTGGTTTTTCGCCACCCCTCTGAAAAATATGAGTTCGTTAGTTGGGGTTATTATTCCCAACTGAATGGAAAAATAAAAAAATGTTCCAAACCACCAACCAGATGAATTTCTGGAAGGATTCCATGGATACTAATGGATATTATCCAGTGGCATCCATTAGTAATTCATAATTCCAGCAATTCAATGGATACTAATGGAGAATATTGGATACTCATGGATATAACGAACTAATGGATAATGGATTCAACGGATACTCGTGGATAATATTGGATAATGGTTAATATGGGATAATTGATGGATTAGGATTCAATGATCACTACTGTACAATGGATATTTCACGTAAAATTGGAA